AATATGGACAATATTTAAAACTCAAAGTAAACAGAAGGAGAGAAGGCCTTTCCCCGTCAGTCAGCAGCACAATGACGAGGCTTCCCATGTCTCTGCAGCTCTCTGGCACCAGGTGGGACATCTGATCCACAGTGTGACTCTGCAAGGAAAATGTGTATTAAATGCATCAGGTGATGAAAAATTTCAAGTAAACGATATAAGTCTTTAATAAATAGAGTATTGTGGAGAAGTTACTTTTCTAACGTATTTTAATTCAAAAAGTGAATCTTTGATATATTCTAGATTCATTGCACAAAGCGAAGCATCTCAAACCCTTTTTGTTTTCATCTTGATTACGGTTTAAAGCTCATGGAAATAAAAACCCCAGTATCTCAAAATGTATAGCGATTTTAGAATAAATACATTTCTGTATTATAAATTATACAGAAATGTCAACTGGAGAAGAGCTCTCTAATCAGCTAATTAACTCAACACACCTGCAAAGGTTTCTGAAGCCTTTAATCTCTCAGTCTGGTTCAGGTGCTCATAATTAACTTTTCCTCTGTATTCAAATTTTTTTAGATGCTCCTCTAAAAGATGCCTCAGTGTTTTAATGTTGACAGCACTATTATGTCACATACGTGGAAGAAAATGGAACAAGGGAGACAATCAATGATAGACAATGTTTTTCTTGTCCTTTAAGACTGAATTTTATATCAGCTGTCACATGTCCAGTGGCCGAGTTGTCCTAATAACGTTACATACAGTTTAAGCTTTGTGTAGCAGACGTGGAGGCATCAGATCCTCAACAAGAAACGATCACTAAAATCTTGTGACAAATATAAAAAGTACCTTTCTCTCTCAAGTGTCCTATTCCAGACAATAATCTCACACAGCCCTGCCGACAGCAGCAGTGTTACTCAAAATAGCGGTGTGGGGAATTAATTAACATGATAGCAGCCACGGCTAACGTTTTATAGTTATATACAGCTATATAGTTATATAGCTTCCATCACGTAAGTAAGGACTCTATGCTAGCTTATTATGTTTATTACAAGTAACATAATCAGGTGACATCCAAATAAACGACTCGTAACTAAGGTTATGTAAAAGGGTTAATTGATTTGCTTCAAATTGTTCGTTTGAGATGTAAACATTAACGTAATTAATAACTGATTAATAGTTAACTTTGGTCTCAACAAAATCTAATGTTAGTGTTATATAACGCTACCACATTTATATATTTTTTATATTCATATACTGTGAAGTATAATGTCAATAACAGATATGTGAGTTATTATAATATTTTCTGGTGTCTTACCGTAAGCTGGTAACAACCGTAAACTGGTAAAAGGCCGACAGGTTCCAACCTCCACTGTCCAGCACCGGGGGTTTAGAAGCATATAGCATTAGCTCCTTAGCCTGAGCTAACTCGGTCACGTCGAGCTAGGCGGGAGTGGTTTCAGCAACACGTCAACTCAGCTCCACCCACAACCCGCCTCTTTGCCCATTTTTGGTTATCCTGACTGGCTTCAAAACTGCGCTTCAGAAACACAACCTGTTCCACCTTCTCCCCTCTGGTAGGCTCTGTTTTACAGTGTAATTGCACACTGTAAATATAAATCTAAGCACGCTGTATATAGTGTAAATACTGTACATACTCTCGTATCCATATGCTTCTTGCATATAAAGTACCTGTTACATAAATGATTCCATATTTATTCAAGAACATTTTGCTCTGCACCATAGCATAATTAAATTCTTGTGTACAAATACTATTGTTTTTTTATACATATATTTTTATAGTCAAATTCCTTGTATTTGTTTACACACGTAATAAAGCTGATTCTGAGAGTGCCTAAACAACAATGTAGACCCAATGCATAAGTTAGTTAGTGTCAGTAATCAAACCAACCAACCAATCAAAGGTCATATCAGTATCCAAAGTGACCAATCAAAGGAGTGGAGACATCATATTCCATCCCTGCCACCAAGTCTCAAAAGTAAACTCAATGAGCAGGCAAGTGCTGAGCAGTTCAACAGCCTCCTGCAGGTTTTGAGACTAATTAAAAACCACAGTAAAGTTCTTTTGATGCGATGATCACTAATCGGTAGCACACACTCGTGCTGCCACATGTTGGGATCACAGGGACCTCACAGATGAAGTTGTTCATTTGTGATCATTACTGAACTTTTATCAGGTGAGGCATTGAACTCAGTTTTTCCTGTAATCCTTCAGAAGTCACACTTGGGTGTAAAGTCAGCCCATGAACCCAGCTGCAGAGTACGATTGGTCAGTGACCTCTGATGTCACCTCATTGATAAAATACAGCAGCATAACGCAATGTTGTTCTGTAGCAAGCATGGCCTGCTTGCTACATAACTCTCTGATCTTACAGTTGTGACACAAAGTCCCACTTAAGATCCCTGCAACTAGTTCAGTTAGCCATATGGCTAACTCTGAGACGGAGCGACTGGAACCTCTCATCCGTACGATTGTACCACGACACAGCAAAACCACAGACCTGCCAGCTAACAACTAGCATGCCAAGTAACTTTATTCCTTCACAGACTGGTTATGTAACTAGGAATTATGGAGCTTCACATAGCTTAATTGCAACGTTACTTGGCAGGACTGTAGCTTTTGTAAATGGGAAGTGTTTTTCATTGAGATTTTATTGTTGTGATCATTATTAACGCAAGATTATGTAACCATAGTTCTCAGCCACTGCTAAATTGTCGTTAGAAACTTGAACTTAGAAACTTGGCACCGTTACACAGATCACATAAACAGAAATATACTTCTGATTTGGCCTTAAACACAACCACACACATGCACTAAGGGGCCCCCACACCATTACACCACCACCACCACCAGCCTGCACAGTGGTAACAAGGCATGATGGATCCATGTTCTCATTCTGTTTACGCCAAATTCTGACTCTACCATCTGAATGTCTCAACAGAAATCGAGACTCATCAGACCAGGCAACATTTTTCCAGTCTTCAACTGTCCAATTTTGGTGAGCTCTTGCAAATTGTAGCCTCTTTTTCCTATTTGTAGTGGAGATGAGTGGTACCCGGTGGGGTCTTCTGCTGTTGTAGCCCATCCGCCTGTTGCGTGTTGTGGCTTCACAAATGCTTTGCTGCATACCTCGGTTGTAACGAGTGGTTATTTCAGTCAAAGTTGCTCTTCTCTTCTATCAGCTTGAATCGGTCGGCCCATTCTCCTCTGACCTCTAGCATCAACGAGGCATTTTCGCCCACAGGACTGCCGCATACTGGATGTTTTTCCCTTTTCACACCATTCTTTGTAAACCCTAGAAATGGTTGTGCATGAAAATCCCAGTAACTGAGCAGACTGTGAAATACTCAGACCGGCCCGTCTGGCACCAACAACCATGCCGCGCTCAAAATTGCTTAAATCACCTTTCTTTCCCATTCTGACATTCAGTTTGGAGTTCAGGAGATTGTCTTGACCAGGACCACACCCCTAAATGCATTGAAGCAACTGCCATGTGATTGGTTGATTAGATAATTGCATTAATGAGAAAATGAACAGGTGTTCCTAATAATCCTTTAGGTGAGTGTATGTTGTGATCAGTTTCTTGATATGTGAAATATTTGTTAATGCAGCTTTGAGTAAGTCGGCTGTGTTTGATGATGGAAAAGGAGTGAAGAGCAGCATACTGTAAAGCTAAATATACAGCTGTACAGAATTTACAACTGCATAGATCTAAGATTCTTTACTTATATTTCCCCAACATAATTTTACAGTTTCACCAGCAGCAGACACTTCATTTAGTGAAACTGAAACACAAATGTCATGACAAAACAATAGCAGCAATTTTCTGTGCTAATCTGTATTTTCTAATTATAACCCAAACGTATTTGGTACACAACAAAATGAATCAATTGTTTCTATGCCTTTGAGGACCCAAAATACACACAATCCAACAGGGAATGGGGTTTGAAGTAAAAAACTGTGTTGATGCTTTGGCAATATTGTTCCAGTTTCACACCAATTTCAAGCTCAGAGAATTGACCCGAGAAAGAAATAAAGAAAGTCAGAGGAGAAAAGAGAGATGGAGAGAAAGCTGACGGCACGATGAGTAAATCCCTGCAGTGTCCAACTTAATTCCTGTGAAATGTGTGAGTTGTGCTGCAAGACTTACATCACACACACACACACACACACACACACACACAGAGTTAAAAAAAAAAGACACAAAAAAGACAGACAGAGATATATCAAGCTGCTTCAAGCTGCTTCAGGTCATATGGACAGAACATTTGGATGGTATATTGTTCATGTCACGTCATCTTACTGTTTTGATCTCAGCTGAAACAGGATGTCAAGTCTAGACACAGCACAAAGAAGGGCTGCTCAAAATAGTTAAAGGGCTGGTTTGCCCCAATTACAAAAGAATCTCTAATGGTATCCTACATGGTACAGTGTTTTGCACCATGCTCATCGTTTTTTATGTGACCAGGTGATCCACTGACAGGCGGGGGCTGGCACAGTGAGCTGAGTTTCGAGTGGAGGACTTCATATGTCCCTGGGTAGATGAGGTGTTGCAAGAAGTAGTGCAGTCCCATGTTGACTGCATCACCAACTGACCTGTTTGCCTGGTAGGCAAACTGCAGGGGGTCAGCAGGGGGGATGTGTGTGTGTGTGTGTGTGCGTGCGTGCGTGTGTGTGTGTGCCTGCGTGTGTGCGTGCGTGCGTGTGTGTGCATACACAAGGAGTGGTGCAGGCGACAGGTGAACTACTGAGCTGATGACAACTCTTACATTATAAATTATATAATGCTGAAATTCCACTGTGGACCTTAAAAATTATTCAATTTTTTAATCTCATCAGATGTTATTGTTATGCAGTGAAAAAAAATGTGCAATAGCACAATTATTATTTTATTCTATCTATCTTTGCTGCAGTTTGTCAAATCAACATCCTATCTTAGACTACATATGAAGGATTGATTTTCCTACATCCAGCACTGTTCATGCATTCCACTCACGTGCCATTGATGACTCCGTCTGGGTTGAGCATGGGGATGATCTTGAAGACAAAGGCTTCCCTCAGACTCTGGGCGACCGGGTCACTGCTGCACAGAAACTCCAGGGTGCCCTTCATCACCCAGCTGGCATTGGACTCACCAGGATGGACACGGCCTGTTAGCACGATATAGGGACGATTACCTGCACAGAGACAAGTTATCATTTTTTCTGCTGATATAATATACAGTATGTGGAGAATTGAAAAGTGTTTTAGCTGGGTGGCGATGGAGCAGTGGATAAGACACATGCCACACGCCTCTGGTGTGGGAGACCTGGGTTGGATTCGCACTGTGACCATCCACCATTGTGTCCCTGGGCAAGACACTTAAACCGTAGTTGCTCCAGAGGTATGCAACCTCTGACATGTATAGAAATTGTAAGTCACTTTAGATAAAAATGTCAACTAAATGACTGATTAATTAATTTGTCAATTAATCTTGCTCAGTAACAGTTGCTTATTGTCATCAGGGATCATACCTTTGCAATTCAAGTAACAGGACAGTTTCTAAACTCCGTGGCTTGTCAATCACCACTCACTACAAAGCTGCCTCTGCATTGCTAACTGGTCAGTTAATGGTAATCTACATTTCCTGTGCTCTAGTGCCATGCATCATTCAATTATCCAGAACTGGTCTGTAATTAAAACTGTGTCCTCTGCACCCATCACAACAATCTATTAAGCTCTGCTAGTGATTGTGACAGCTTGCCAATAATGCTGGCTACCAGAGGTCACCAGTGATAATGGTAATGTTGTGCAAGGGTCAAAATTAACGATAGCATGCCAACAGATGGGACAGTGTGTTATCAGTCAGGGTTGTTTGAGCTCAATGACAATCTGCTGTTGAGATATTTAGGTAAATGGTGTGCCGGAATGAGCAACATCTGCATAGAGAATGGTCTGTCCTGGGTCATTTATAAGTATAAATAAATAAAATAAATAAAATTGTATTTGTCAGTTTATGGCTTGTTTTGTGTAGAAAAGGTGGGGAAGTGTTAGAACTTAGAAATGTTTAAGGAGCATATAAGTAAAACCCTGGATGAAAATAGAGGTAGTATCACATTACATGACTGTGGGCTTAAGTAGTATTCAGCTAATATGGATTTTGAAGTGTGATAGGGATGTGGGTGGTATATATAGTACGTATAGGTTTGTATGTGCTTAGGTACAAGTCTAGTCAAAAGAAGTAGATGGGTCAAGGTAGACCAGATTGTTGCATTTTAGGTGGTAGATTAGTGTTGGAATAATTGATGGAAATGTCAAACATGGTTGTGTTTTGAGTTGGATGGTGGTTGGGGTAGAGGTTAAGACTGTCGGTGTACGGGAACAACCTGTGTGGAGAATTCTGATTCAGAAGAGGTTTGGAGGCTGGTGCTAATTGTTTGAATTTCTGGAACAAGAAGCGAGAAAGTGAGTCAGCAATTGAGTTTTGTGACCTGGGATGTGGGAGGCTCAGATGATGAACTGGAATTCATGAACTACGTTACTAGACACTGCAACCATCCTTTGTTGATTTCTGTGTTAGCACTGTTGTGCACCATTCGTGCACCCAAAAAAATGGCTGCTATACTGACTGGGGACTGGAGTTTGGATGATGACACTGATAAGTATTAAGACAGGTACGCCAAAAGTAATCAGAATCAGCTTATGAAATCTTGTTTACTATCTCAGGAATAGACACTGCCAGGAGAAAAATGTTACTTTCATAAAGTCCCAGCACATTCTTTGGCATACCTGTCTTAATGATTATACAGGGTGTGTGGCTCAGGGGTAAGAGCAGTCATCCACTTATTATAATGTTGGTGGTTTGATCCCTTGACACTGTTGAAGTGACTTTGGCCAAGACACTGAACCTCAAACTGCTCCCGATGGATGTGCCATCTGTGTGTGAATGAGTTTCTGGGGTGAATGTGATGTAATTTTAATTGGTCGGAAAGGCGCTATACAAATAATACACTTTTACCATTTAGAATCCTGAACCTGAAGGTGGCAGTAATGCAACATTGTGGATGCCAACTGCTATAAAACCACCTCCTGATGGGGGTGGTGTTTTCCTGCTAGTCTGAGAACAGTTGAAAAAGTTTTAGCTTTATTGTCAGAGTGGTGGAAAGGGCTGCATCAGGGATCGGAGAGGGGTGAGCATTAACGCCTTAGATAATCAGTGGTAGTGCCTATAATGTGAATTCCTGTATGTTAACTGTTCATCTGCATTTGTCTGTAGAGGCCCCAGTAATATTTGTACTTACAGTGTACTGAAGTAGATTGTCTGTGTAACTATAGTAATCATCTATTAACCTCTGCTCTTTCATTTGTTCTCGTTTTTTTCTGTGACTCACTTTGCACTGGGTGTTTTGTCAGAGTGAGTCATAAGTCCAAATTGTATGAGTACACCCCAGCTATGACATGGCTGGGACTGTCGCTATGAGTATGTGTTTTTGTTTCTTTCTCATCCTGAATGTGTGTGGCTGGCTGTTGTGGTTTGGCTTTGCTGTCGCTCTGTTTTTCCCCCTCTCTCTCTTGCTGCTCCCTCTGTTTCTTGCCGGCATGTTGCAGCAGTGGGCAGTACCTGTGGTGGTTCCTGGGGCTGGTTTCCACACCTCCTGATTGGCACACCTGAATCTCATCATGCCGATCACCACCGCTTTATAAGCCTTGTGTTTTCTTCAGTTCGGATTGGTATGTTGAGCACTGTAGGTCTCAAGTCAGTATCCGCCTTTGTTTGCTATTTGTTATCAGCTCTTGTGTCCTACGTTACCTGTAAGTTGTTGTTTAATCGTGTCTCTGTCCTTTGGTCTCCCAGCCTGGAAGAACTCTGTTCTGAATCGCCTTCACCTGCCTGCCACGCTGGAGTCTCAGTTGAAGCTGACTCACTGTACGCCTGCCTGCCTGATATCCGAAACTCACCACACCGACCAGCCACAAAGGATTTTCCCCTGCTCTGCCCATTCTGAAGTTACTGAAGTTCAATAAACTGTTTAAACTTACTGTCTGTCTCAAGTGTGCTTCTAGGTTCTGTACATCACCACCTGACACCCTCTAAGCTGTGGGCCCCACAGGCGTTTTGCTTCCTGTCTGTGTGGTAGGTTCCTTGTGATCTTCCATTCTGTTTCCTGTCTTTTGTAAGCGTTGTTCCTTGGGTGTGTTGTGCCGTTTTTAATTCCTGTCCTTGTGTTTCTAGGTTGATTGTGTGCACCTGCCCTAATGTCTCGTTATCTCCACTCCCTTAGCTATATAAGTCTCTGCCTCACTATGTCCAGTTGCCAGTTCATGGTTTCTCCAGTGAGTTTTTCGTGCTGCTTTTGCTGTGTGCATTGTGTGTTCTGTTGGATTTTTGGATTACTGTACTCTTGTTTTTCAGGATACAAACCCTAATGAGTCACCCGTTTAAAGGATTTACTTAACATTGCATCAATCTCCCGTGTCTGCATTTGGGCCCAAACTCCTAGGCCCTGTGTCAGGTTTAGGTTTAGTGAAAACTGGGAGTATGTTAAGGGAAACTCTGGGTTTTTGGTTTCAGAGATCAGGAACTCTAGGTCAGTGACCCTTGCAACTTGCGCTGTGAACCTAACCTCCTCTGGAGGTTTACTTCAACAAATGTTGAGTTTCTCTCTGACTCCTCCCCTCCGCGTTTTGGAACGCAGTTACGTCTACAGAAACAGCAATATCACGGTTAGAAAGGCTATTGGTTTGTTTTACCCAAACATTATCTTGAACATGCTTTTATGATCAATCTGTCATCGATGTATGGACAGTTATCTCTGGACATCGTGAATTTATCCTCAGCACAGAAATGTATGTCTGTATACTATCCTTTATAAGAGTGACATTAAGGCAGCTGTCAACAGTTGACCAAAACGATTACTGCAGTAGGCCTAATCACTGTTTAAACTAATCTGTACAAAACTGATCAATGAACAGTGATCTTTGATATTGTAGTTGCACTGATTGGAACATTTGTAGTTATCAGCTGGATATGATGTGAATATTTCTCAGTGGGGATGCCTGTGGTGCAGCTGAAACAAATGTACTTTAAAAGTGAGTTTTTCATTACTAGTTGCATACAGCATTTCATAAAACCTTGATCTCTACAAGGTGAGACCAAGGTGGGACACACGTAGTAGGTGGGTGTAGATTATGGATGAACCCACTAGTGACTAGCATTTTAAAAGGCTGTGAACATCGTCATCGCCAGGTCATTTTTCCAGGCCTTTAGTTCCGGATGTAACTCAATAAAAGCCAAATTATTTTCCATGTTACTATGCAATAATCTTCATGACGCAGTCTGTCTCACAGGTCTTCAAAGAGAAGGGGCTACTTCATTTTGTTTGAAGTTTCGGTTTTCTTCCTCTGATCAGTGCGCTCGTCTCATTGAGTAGGCTACAGTCCCAGACGGGCTATGTGTCTGTCAGACGGTCTAAAGGGGGTAGCCTCAGGTGTGGACTGGAAATCTGGCATGGCGGACCAACGAAACTTTGGGGCCGGTGTAATGTAAATTATTTATTGTTTTAACTGTTTTTAAAAAATGGGCCAACGATCGGCCCATAAAGCATCAGGTCTATACTGACATTGGGCTGGCCCAATCACATCTCTTACTAGCCCCCACCACCACCCCCTCTGCTGGAGCTGTTTCTTGTTTTGTGGGCCAAATAAAAATAAATTGCCAAATGCGCAAAAATAACCGATATGTTTGCTACCTGGGCTGCAGTAGCCTACCCTGCATAGTGCAGGCACTTGAAGGAGTAAAGGAGGTGAAACAGAGGGACAGCAAGAGAGAGCAATGAGAGTAGAGGTGAAGTGGTTGGTAAGCATGGAGTAGCTCAGCCTGTAGGGAGGGAGGGTCATTTACACTGGGACATGTAGCCACCATTTTTTGAAAGCATTAAAAATGTTCTGAAAATAGCTTGCACCAAGAAATGTTAATTAACAAATAAAAATGCTATGAGAGGTTTATTTGCACAATAAACCTGCAATGCAGTGTAAATACTGAATAAATCTCTATATTAATAAAAAAGAAGAATAAGCTACTGATTACTGCATTACATTCTATTATATTTTTATATTCTGAATGGTCACCTGCCACCTAAATTTTGTCCTTCCCTTTATAAAAATAAAGACATTTCCACCATTCCCCCAGACCCCCCCT